CAAATAGCAAAGAAAGAAGGAGTACTCGTTGAAAGAGTTCTCGGCCTGTTTTGGCAGTCATCATCTGACAGCTTCGGATTCAAATTAAAATTTAACAACGTGGATTCCAATGTGGTGAGTGGAACACGGCGCCCGACGAAGCGAGAACTACTAAGCGTCGTCATGTCGATTTTCGACCCGTTGGGATTTCTCAGCAACTTCGTAGTAAGCGCGAAGCTACTCATGCGTGAAGTTTGGAAGAATGACATCCGCTGGGACGAGCCATTGCCAGACGACATAAATTCCGCATGGGAAAGATGGCGTAAACAGTTGCCATTAGTCACCGAGTATGCTATCCCTCGTTATTATTTTCGGAATGGCTTGCCCAAAACACTGCAACTCCATGTTTTCGTCGATGCTAGTGAGGATGCCTTCGCTGCGGTGGCCTACTGGAGGTCATCTAATGCCCTTGGTGAGGTAGAAGTCGCATTTATTTGTGCGAAAACCAAATGAGCGCCAATGAAATCGTTAACTGTGCCACGACTAGAACTTCAAGCAGCTGTGTTGGGTACGCGGTTGATGAGCTGTGTTCGAGAGGAGCATTCCGTTGGCATCGAAGATAGCATCATCTGGAGCGATTCAAGAACGGTGATCCAGTGGCTCCGCAGCGAACATCGTCATTACAAGCCATTCGTACAACATAGGATGGCTGAAATATTGGCCGCAACCACCATTGCTAATTGGAGGTGGCTACCTACAGAACACAACGTCGCCGATGAGGCCACACGAGCAAACGAACGTGTTGACTTCAGCTCAATAGCCCGATGGTCCTGCGGTCCACCCTTTTTGCTGCAATATGAACGCGTTTGGCCGACAGAGTGCTTAACAACAAATCATCAACAAGAAGCCGACAAAGAACTTCGTCCTAAATATGCCCTAGTAATCGTAAGTCGTACGTTTATAAATTTTGATAGATTTTCTTCATTTAGTAAACTGGTAAGAACGGCAGCATGGGTCCTGCGATTTATCGATACTTGCCGCCATCTTGCTCAGCCGGATCGGTGCTACGGTCTGACAGCCAAAGAAGTTGAAACCGCTAAACTTTGTATGTGCCGCCTTGTTTAGCGTGATGTATTCGCCGATGAGTTTCAGCATATCGAAAGTGGCCAAGGCATAGCCCGCACCAGTTCACTAATTCAACTTTCG